ATGAAAAAAACCCCAAAAAAAAAAAAGGGGGGGGGGGGGGGGGGGTGTTGGGTTATTTTTGGTTCTTTTTGGTTCGTTTATTTTTAATTTTTCATTTCATTAGTGCTCAATTTATCACTTGTTTTATCCAACCCGGTTTCTACCATTTAAAAATTAATTATATTCATAATAAATATTATTTTTTCCCCCCCAAAAAAATGACTTTTTAAAAGGAAAAATCAACGTTTCCTCCTCTGATAACCAGCATTTTTCTTTCATTTCTCCTCCAAAATTAAAGAAAAACCTCATTAAAAATCATCCTGAAATGGGAAAAATTAGAAATACTTCAATCTCCACATTCCAAATTGAAAAATTATCATAATTCTTCATTTTTTTGCCACATCAATAGGACACAGAATGGTCATTTTGACACCAAAATTAACCAAAAAATTGATATTATTATTTATATATATATTTTTGAAATATTTCTGCTGTGGCAAAGGGGGAGGAATTCTGAAAAAAAAACCCATCAAACTCCACCAAAAAAAACCCCAAAAAGCAAAAAAAATTTGGAATTTTGGAATTGTGGAGAAAGGTGTTTCTGTTTTCTTTGGATTATATTTAAAAAAAACCCCAAAATTGACATTTTTAAGCCGTTTCTTGGTGATTTTCTAAAAAAAAAAAAAAAGAGGGTTTTCAAATCCCTGAGGAGGTGACAAAATATTGACAACCCCCAAAAAATTCCATCTACCACCAAAGAAAAAAAGAAAAAACCCCAAAACTTTATGTTCTTACCATGAAATTATTAATTAAATCAAAATTTCACTCATAAAAACCCCAAAAGGGGATTTTTTTTCCCAAAAAATTATTTTATTTTTATTTTCTTTTATTTTTTCTATCGTCAAAAATCCTCGTGGATGGAAAAAAAAAAACAGATTTCAACTTCAATCACCAGAAAAAAACCAAAAACACAGGTGGAAAACCCACCACCCCCTTTTTTTGGGAGAAAAAAACACATTTTTGAGCAAAATTAACAAAAAACAACCCCAAAATAGTTATTTTTCAGCAAAAAAACACCAATTTTTGGTCATTTCTTCCCATCAACGATGAATTTTTATCTCAACCCATCACCCTCCCCCCCACCCTCCTTGGAAATATTTTTCCCTCAGTGTTTGAAACGGGGTAAAAACCGGAAGTTTTTGTAAAATGATTTAT